AAAACAAACCAACTTACTTTTCTGTATCATGCAGAAAACAAAACATGATAAATATGTGTGTTAAAAATTTTTTAAGTAGTGACAAAGTTTATTTGAAAAAGTAAAAATGAAGAGTGAGAGAGAAACTGACTCTGTAGAGCAAGCCTGGGATGAGTAAAAGAGGAAAAAGCAAGACAAAAGAACACCCTAGAGAAAGCAGGGTGGACCATCGTGAGGAAAGCCATGATAACCTCAAATTCTAAAAAACTATAGTCTTCGCTGAAGCACAAGTACCAGTAACATTTTTACATAATTCAATCAATCTACAGATACAATGCAATCTCTATCAAAATTCAAATGACATTTTTTCACAGAAATAAAAAAGACAATCCTAAAATTTGCATGGCACCATAAAAAAAAACAACAACCCTGAATAGCCTAAATAATCTTCAGCATAAAGAATGAAGCTGGAGACAGCACACTATCTGATCTCAAAATATACTACAAAGCTTTCATAATCAAAATAGCATGATTCTGGCACAAAAACAGACCAATGTAACAGAATAGAGACCCTCAAAATAAATCTGCATGTTTATAGTCAACTCATCTTCAACAAAGGCACACAAAACACACAATGGGGAAAAGATAATCTCTTTGATAAATGGTGCTGGGAAAATTGGCCATCTACATGCAGAAGAATGAGATCAGGCCTTTACTTCACTTTATACATACAAATCAACTCAAAATGGATTATGATGTTAAATGTGAGACCTGAATCTATGAAACTACCAGAAGAAAACACAGGGAGAAAGCTTCTTGATGTTGATCTAGGCACCATTTTAAAAAAATGGGACATCACAGCTACCAAAAACAAAAAATAGAAAAATGGGCTTTTATCAAACTAAAAGATCTCTGTACAACAAAAGAAACAATTGACAGAGTGAAGAGATAACTTACAGAATGGAAGAATATATTTGCAATCCATACATCTGATAAAGGGTTAATATTCAAAACATATCAGGAACCCAAATAACTCAACAACAACAACAAATAATAACTTGATTATAAAATGGGCAAAAGACTTAAATTGACATTTTTCAAAAGTACATACACAAACTACCAAAAGGTACATGAGAAAAGTGTTCAACATCACTAATTATCAGAGAACTACAAATTAAAAGCACCATCAGAAATCACTTCATACTTGTTAAAATGGCTACTATCAACAACAGAAGGCAACAAATGTTAGCAAGGATGTGAAGAAAGGGTAGTTCTTGTATACTTCTAGTGGGAATCTAAACTGATATAGCTATTATGGAAAAGAGGATGGAGATTCCTCAAAAAAAAAAAAAAAGAAAAAAGAACTACCATTAAGATCCAGCTATTTCATTTCTGGGAATACTATATGTCTGAAGGAAATGAAATCAGTATCTCAAAGATATCTGTACACTATGTCTACTACATTATTAATTATAATAGCCAAGATATGGGATTCAACCTAGTGTCCAACAGATAAATGGATAAAGAAAATGTGGTGCATATAAAACGGCATATTAATCAGTCTTATAAAAGGATACCCTATTCTTTGTGATATTGATAAATGAAGTAAGCAAGGCAGAAAAAGACAAATGGAATCTAAAAAAAATCAAACTCAAAGAAGCAGATAACAGAATGGTGGTTGTTGTCAGGGGCTGGAGAAATGGAAAGATGTTGGTCAAAGGGAACTAACTTTGTTATGCAAGATGAATAAATTTTAGAGAGCTAATGCATAGCTTGGTGACCATATTAGTACACTATAATATACTTGAGATTTGCTGAGGGTAGATCTGAAATGTCTCTGCACACAAATTTGGGACACTATATATATATACACACACACATATATACGTATATACATACGTTTATATACATATATGTGTATATATACACAATCTGGACTTCTTTCTTCTAAGTACTTTCCCTTGTCACTAAACAGATTTTTGGAAACTATTTTAAACACTGCATAGCCTTTCTTCTGCTGTTGATGTTTGCCTACTTTTCAGTTTTCACTAATATCTAGCTCTCCAGTGTACATTTTTGTAGGCAAACCTCATCTGAGACTTTTCTTAATTGTTACTGTTAGATACCAAGAGGGGAAAGGATTAGGTTAAGGATATGAAGTTATGAACATTCTTGATATAGAATTACCTAATTGTTTATTTTAAAAATAACTTGCACTTGCAAAACAAGATCTCAAACTTGTTCTCTTGCTAACACTGATTTAAAAGAAACCTTCAAAAATCCACATGAATTTATTTGATAGGTCAGAGTTGGGTACCTTGACTTTCCCTTCTTTGATTCGTAGCAAGTTATACATTCACTACTCTTTTCTCCTCACCTTGGCCTCCTACTTCTATCTCAGACTATTCCTTTTTCAGTACCCTTGATAGGCTTTTCTGACTATTCAAAAGTATTTTGTCCTCAGTTCTTTGAATGTCCTGCAGGCTTCTTAAACTCAATGTCCCAAATTAAACTCATCTTCACTCCTACACTTGCTTCAATTTTCGGTTGATGACATCATCAAACACCCAGGCAGCCTAGTCAGAAACCTAAATCTGTTAAAGAGGATTCCTTTCACTGCCACATGTGAACAGTCCTAGTTTTTTCAATTCCACTTCTCAGGTCTGTTTCCATTCTTCTCTGTGGCACTGCCCTATTCAAGCTTTGATTATTACAAAAAAACTCATTACTCCCCCTCCCTTCACATCCTCTTCCCCTCTCTTACATACTGCTGCCAGAGATCTTTGTACAAAGGAAATCTGATCATGTTCTTTCCTTGTCCAGCTTCAACTCTTGACCTTCCCATCTACTCCCTTCTTTCAGCTTATGGAGCAACTATAATTACAGTCTCTGGGCTTCTTTTCTGCCAAAAGTGTGTATCTTAGGGTCTTGTGAATTCCAATTAATTATTAGACAGTACAGAAGTCTATCCAAGTACCCCTCTATCACTTCTTTTATACATCAATTATACTTTGTACAGAGCTTTATGGTGACACTTAACATTATAGTTTTGCCATTTCTGTTTAACAATCTCTTGTGTACTATAATGAAAACTCAAAGGCAAGGTACTATGCTTTTTATTCCTAGTCCAGGTAAAATTCTTGGAACAGTAGAAATTTAAAAACTCCTTTCCATCTTTTCCCACCATCTGATAATTTTTCAAGTCCAAAAATCTCAACCTACCTAAATGTCTCTGTTACCAAATCCTTCTCCATTCCCCATTTCTAAGGTTGACAAAATTATTATAATTACTCCTAACGGGTTTGGATACTTCTCCAAAACAGGCTATCTTCATGACTGCTCAAAGTTATTATTCTAAAATATACCCAGTCATGCTACCTAAATACTAAAAAAAAACAAACCAAAAAACAACTTTGATTACTCTTTGTGATGTAGGTGGTTATTTTCCAAGAACATGCAAACTTTCTACTGAGAGTTAAAACTAAGTCATGCATAATGGGAGAAGACACACTGCTTACTAAATCCAAGGCTTAGAATATGTAAACACTTTGAAGATAGTATTTAATAACTTTCAGAATCCAGCTCCAGTTTAGTTTTTCAACTCTGTCTCCTACACTCTTCTTCCCCATACTTAATGGCTATCCTAGTCATTAGTTCTTAATGTGCTGTTGTAATTGGATTGCTTTATCATCAAGCAAATTCCCAGTTATCCATAAAACTCTTGTGAGAATTGTGCTGATGCATAAAGTACTTAGCATAGTGTCTAACATATAAGTACTAAATAAATATTAGCAATTACTTTTCAATGTTTGTTGAATGATGAAGCACTAGTCCAAAGAGTTCCAGAGCAAATAATGCTAAAAACATGGTTCATAAGAGAGAGCTAAACTAAACACAACACGAAAGAGTACATGAGCACACACACATACACATACAGAGAAAACTCAGCAATCCCTCAGTTGCCCCATGCACTCATTTTCATATTAATATTTGGTGCTAGCTTACTGCAGGCACAGTTCCAAAATATTCCTAGCATGAAATGTAAAATGGAAAGCGATTAAGGGGATCTACGTAGGTAAGACAGAAAGTTTTCACAATGCCTTTGAACAAAGACAGATGGCTCTCTATGGATAGAGCTCCAAAAAAAGAGATGCAGGAAACCTCATTTCTCTTTTTTTTTCATAATGTAGTCTGAAATTTGAGGCACACTTGATTCACAATCTCCTGGATTTGAACTGTTGAGAAAGCTGAGCTTTCTTTTTTTTTCCCCAACACTCAGCTGTAGTGTAAATCATCCCAACCTGAGCGTGACTATTATTCAATATTAACTTTATATAAACAGACACAAGCATATTAAGTTTTTTATTGTTAAATTACTATGGTACCATAGGCAGAGCAAAAAGGGGAAAAGGGAATGATCTACTTGTGCATTCCTACTTTAAATTCTCGAATAATGAACAAGTGAACAGATGATCAGGTAGGAAAGGAAAACTGAGGCAAGGGTTTCCTTATGAATCTTCTAATTTTTCTAATAATCATAGAAAACATGCTCAAAAACTTTAGAAAAACATTTTTATACATGTGATATCATTTTAATAAACTATGTTTATCTCAATAATCTGGAAAACTCCCTCAGTGCTAAGGACAGTCTATATCTGTCTAATGCAATTATAATTTAGATATAATATAGACATCAAAAAATAAACGGATGGCATAGTTTAAATTTTCCAAATTGTTAAGACTTTTAATGTTGAGTTTCTAGTTCCAGAATTGTCCATTCCCCTTGAGGTGAGCAATCTTCAGAGGAAAAACTAGACATGGTAATACTTGTTGAGGAATTATCAAGTGGAGATGATAGTTCACTCCATCTGTTCAAAGTGTCAACATGTGCTATACCCTGAGGTTTGGAGCTGTCTCGTGCTAAAAGGAGTGTTTGATTGATTAAATACTGTGCCAAATTTAAGTCTTCAGGAAGAGAATTTGTAATATTTAAATTTGAATCCTGTTCAGAGAGCAGTTGCTTTAGTAGTGTCCAATCCTGTTTCGCAAAGTGTTGATCATCTTCAAAATCTGTATCTGTCACATGTGTTTCAGATTCCATTTTCTGCTCAAATGCTTCTGTTATAGCCATCTCATGTATTGGAGAGAGGGTTTTTGAAGGCCGATGGTCATACATGCGGGTTTGTGCCAGTGTGTCACAATCATCTATGTCTCCTGAAATAATTCATAATACTACACAATGTAAAAACTGCACATGTTGGTATCCCTCAGAGTTTTGTAGAACAATATTAATACAATATAACAGTGATAGCCCCCTAAAAAAAAACCACAAAATGGGAAAAATAATATTTATACAAAATTCACAAAATTTTTGAGGCATTTCTTTTTCTATGTTAAAAAAATTCAAGGGTAATATTTAGCAGCAAAATCAACATAGGCAACTAACAACAATTCTCCATACTTTAATTTGAAAGCTTATGATACAGAAAGTAACATAAATTATTTAAACATAAACATAGAAAGTGCACATATATCTAATTCACTACAATAGAAACTTAAGGAGAAAAAAAAGACAGTTATTTGATGGTGACCAAAGTAAGTCAGTTCTGAAAGGGGGAAAATACATTTTTATCTAAAGGTTTATTCTATATTGCACATGCAAAGGAGGATGCAAGCAAGGACAAACAAAAAGTACAACTTTTAAAGATCTCCTATTCTTATAAGTTTGCTGAATAGAGATTTATTCATCAGTATCTTAGTTATGATACACAATAGTTGCTCAGTCAGCTACTACTGCATATTTCAAATGTGGGTCTTTAATCTGAATTATTATAAAAAGGAAGACAAAAACACAAAACAATTAGACAGGAAATCATCTAAACATATGAAATAAGCCTGGGCTTTTTTCATATATTATTATTACCTCTAAATATAATCTCTTTTAGGAAATTTAACTTCTTACTTGAAAAATTTAGAATAGTAATTATATTGATCCTGAAAGCTTAATCTCTGTAAAATGTATATAAATTGTACTATCTAGTTGTTAAAATAGTTCAGTGCTTTTAGGTACATATTACTATAGTTATTGCACAGCCCTCTTAGATATATACTAGCAAGTTCATAAATCATATCCAATGTATAATAAAATTTCTAGTAGTCAAGAATTATGTTAAATTAAGCACAAATAACTAATAATAACAAACTAAGTTTTTCTCTGTTCTTTTATGTAAAATCTCCTAGTAGGTTAACTAATAAACAATCAAAATTTTTACTAGATACTAATTCTTACTAGGATTTTAAGTAAACACAAGAATGAATAATTAGCTACTTTTCATACTATTAAGAAATTTAAATATTCATCTAAATTTGATACTGTTGCTTAAGTATTCTACCTACCTAAAATATAACATTTGGGGTTACATACAACTTCAAAATTTTATAAATGTATTTTTTAATGGATTTAGCATTTTTATTTCTGTACATTACCTGCAGATAGAGCAATATTAGCTTTTTCTGTAGCTGTAGAATGGCTTTCTTTCACTTGACCTTCCTGAGGCAGAATGTGACTCCAAAAAGAGTCTAGAGATTTTGCAGAGCTGTTCTTTGGTATGTCAGAATTCGGTTCTCTTTGATGAAGCTCCAAGTGACATGGTCTTTCTTGAGATTTTATATCACTATCCATGTATTTGCTGAGTTGCTGAAAGTCATTATCCGTATCTCTTCCACTGTGTACTTTTTTATCTTCTAGAAAAAGCTGTCTGCCTCCTTTGGACAGGACAGCTGATGTGTTCTTTTTGTCTGTGGCTGAAGTATTTTGTTTACCTTTTTTTGAAGAGTCAATGCTACTAAGACCCAAGAGAGTGCTTTTACTTTTATATGCACTATTGCCTTTATCTTCTTGTTTACATTTTAAAATACTATCTTCACTTTCTTGTGAGAATCGGGAATAACAGGTCCTTTCATGATGTTCATGAGAAACACCATCAAAGACATCAGAAGGTGAAAAAGAATCTATAGAAGGGTGAAAGGAAGTATGAGCTTCCCCCTCATCAGATCCCAGTTCTTCACACTCATCAACTGAAAGTAAAACTGACCTTTTAAACTTTTTAGTTGCAGAAAACTCCTGACTTTCATTTTCAGTTCCATCTTCAAAAGCTAGGTTTATTATCCCCTGAAACTGCTGAGGAGCTGGATTAGTTATAGAGAAAATTTCCGCAACATTTTCAGCTTCAGATCTTTCATCTTCTGTTTCATCTGCTGAAGAAGAAACCTGATCTATTTCTTGAGTAAACTGGATACTGCCTCGTGGAATATTTTCTTTTTCCCTAGGGTGGACAATTGTAGATCGAGACCAAATTTCTGGCCTTTTCCTAGGAATCTCTTCATCACTTGTTGAATTAACTTGGAAAAGATCATTATTACTTTGCTTTTTCAGTTTTACTTCAATTCTTAAATTACTATCATATATTTTTAATTCTTCAGGAGTACTGGTATCGCTGCTACTTCTTCCAAGAAAATCATGGCACAGCATAGTGCCACATTTAGAAATACCTCTGTCATTTGATCCATCATCATCCTGAGACCCTCCAGCATCATAGTCTTCAGATCTGGGCTTTATGTCATCAGAGGATGTGGTAGCGCTGCCAGTGTCAGATTCAGGACTCTCTCTTTGAGGCACCATGCTGGTATTCAAATTCCAGTGACCTGTGAATGGAACTTCTAGAGTTTCATGTTTCTCTAGAGTTTCTGGTGTTTCTATATTTTTAGAAAAAATTTTTCCTGACAGTTGTCCTGAAAAACATTTGGAGGAAACATCTGAATCTGCTGCAGTATGTTTGTCTTCCTTCATAGTAGAGTCATCAAACAACTGATTAGGAATTGTAGGTTCTTCTACACAAATTTTAGATTTTCTGTCATATTGAAAAGAACTTAAGGTACTAAATTGCTCCTTTTCAGGAGCACAAGATAAAGGCTCTTTCACACATTTTATGTTTGACTTTTTGTTTGTATCTTTTTTGCCTACTTGCTTCTCTCTATCTGATATTAAATAAATTTGCTCTGCATTTGTTGAATCTAAATCACAAATTGGATTAGAGTTTAAGGAGTTTTCATTTGTATTTGAAACTGTGGATTTTAGAGCAGTGATGCTATAAAATTTTGAATCTATATCACTCCCATCAAAATGACTGTATGTTTTAGTTGCATTGCAGTGATTTATGTCTTTGTGATTGGGAAATTTCGTTTCATTGTTATCTGAACAAATCTGTCTTGCTTTCAGTTCATGTTTCATTGATTTGTTCAGCTTTGAAATATTCTGGCATTCTAACCCCAACTTATCTTTTTCTTGACTGCTTAATAGCTTTTGTGGGTCAGATCTGCATGATGACCGGTATGCTTCTGTACCACTGATTTCAGATGTGAGATTAATTAGAGATCTATAAGGTTTTTGTTCAGAAACATTGTCTTCGTTGTTATTATCATGTACATTATGAAGGATACTTTTTTGGACAACTGACATTTTACTTTTTGAATGTTTTTGAGAAGGCTGAGTTTTCAGTATAAACTGTTCAGGAAGCATTTTTTGTTTTGAATCTTTATTATTCAAAGTTTCACATATCTTTGGCTGATTTAGGTTTTTAGGTATTGACATCATTTTTGGATTAGCCTTAGGAGTATTTATGTGTCCTTGCTTGACAATTTTTCTCTTAGATGTTTGTTTATCTGTAGTTATACGGTGGTCCAGCTTTCTCAAATCTTCACCTGACTGCCTTGAAGAGACTGAAGATTTTACTGAATGTGGTGACTCTTCTTGGGATCCTAAGAAAAGAAAGTTCAGAAATATACTCTCTAATTCTGAGTGGAATTCAATATGTTTTAAATTATTAGAAAAATAAAATCAATTTAAAAATGAAAGAGTAACACCTATGATCAAATGGACAACAACAGATTAGGAATCAGTCATGTGATAAAAATGATTTAAAATATATAGAGAAGTTGGGGTACAGCTTAATGGTATTCTTGTCTAGAATTTATGAGGTCCTGAGTTTGATTTCCAACACCAACCTCCCATCCCTCCCTCCTTTTCTCCCTCTTATTCCAGGGTCTTAGTAAAAATTTTTTTTCTTTAGTAAAATTTATTAAAATAGGATCTCTCTTTCTCAAGTAAAAGGCCTTCCCGCTGCCTGCCTTGCAAGCGCAAGGACCCGAGTTCGATCCCTGGTACCAAAAAAAAACAACAGGCCTTGATCTTCATGCCAAAATTGGATTTATATAAATATATGAAAGTGAAAAATCTGATTTTTTTTTTTTTTGGTACTGGGGATCGAACTCAGGACCTTGCACTTGCAAGGCAGGCGGAGGAACCACTGAGCTAAATCCCCAGCAAAATCTGATTTTCTTATACCAAAGGAGGAAGAAAGGTCTTCCCTTGAAGTCTTTTTTTGGGGGGCCTGGGGGGGAGCTGTGTTCTACATAGCTAAATAGGGGAATCAAGCTAAATAGAAAAAGATAAAATGGTTGAAATTGTTAGTTGTTTTATTCAAACATGAATAAAACCATCTTACTTCTTGTAACCATGAATCATTGTGGTTAACTTTTTAGATCTGTAGTGGAAACCAGAACTGCTAACTACAGGGAACAGGGTATTAATTTTGGGAATCCATTTGTTTATGCTTGTTAAAGTCTTAGAGATAATATTTTGGGTATTCAAATCTACCAAACAGAATGATGGATTTTTTTTTCAGTGCTAGAAATTGAACCCAGGAACTCATGCATGCTAAGGCAAGTTCTCTACTACTGAGATATAAGCCTATAAAAGACTTTTAGATGATAAATTTTTATCTCTTACTAAGATATGAATAATTTTTCTCTGCCTTATTATTATTATTATTATTTTGGTACTGGGAATCGAACTTGGGTCCTTGCGCTTGCGCAGCAGGCGGCGAAACCACTGAGCTAAATCCCTGGCCCTCTGCCTTATTTTTTAATTGGCTTCCAGTATTAACTCATAACACAAATAAAATTATTTTTAGGATTACACAAACTGCTCTTATTTATGTGAATGCTTAATGAATAAAGAAAAATAATTTTTGAAATCAGTTTGTGTTACACACTCTAATTAGTACTCTTTCTGAGATCACTGAAAGACAATGGGCACAGCAGATTCTGAGGAGAAAATTCTTTCTCCCTACATATTATGGCTTTCTGAACCTATCATTATTTTAAAAGCTCTTTAATGCTGGCTTTTTGGATGTAATTCCTAGAGTTCTCAATGAAGGAACATGGGCATATTCTCTATAAAGGACCTAAAATGCAAATTATTTCTACTACAAAGGACAATAAAAACCTTCAAACACCAAAATACTTGTCTAAAACTAAAAGTATAGGGCCAGGGATTTAGCTCAGTGGTTCCGCCACTTGCCTTGCAAGTGCAAGGTCCCGAGTTCGATCCCCGTATCAAAAAGAAAAAGACCGTCTTAAAAGTAAAAGTATAAATTCTCATCTCTATCATGTGAAACAAATATAAAATAAGTGGAATCATGCTATGTTTTGCTCATTTGCTACTGAAATTTCAAATCAGAGTTTTGTTTAACCAACTTACATAAGGAAATAATACTCATGATACCTAGGACTATCTTGGCTTACCTTGAGTTTTAGCAAGATTAGATGGGGCACTCTTTTTCCTTTGCTGTCCATTGCCATTACCTCTTTTCTTCAAAATTGCTTGTGGTACTGGATCACTATATCTTTTCCCACTGACCTTCTTTAGTACACTAAGACAAATGATTTGCATTCAATATTAGATTCCAAAACATGAACTTTTAAAAGATATTTTTTCTCAATAAATAAAAAAATATTTTCTGAAAATAGAGAAACCATATGTTCTGTTTTAAGAGTATAGGCCAAATATGATAAAGCAATGAATAATTATGTGCCATAAGTGTAAAGGGAGATATTCTTCTAATACTCTGCATTAATCATCATTTTGCACAGACTTTTTAATAAATAAGAAAATCAATTTTAAAATCACTGTGTAAATACATTAGATTTCTTCATAAAGTTATTTCAGTAATATTTAGTTAGAAGTTAGCATATATAGCAAGTCCTCAACTTATGAACATTTGAGTTGCAAACTTTCACAGGTGCACTGTATAAGATTCACAGGTGTACTGTATAAGACTCACTTTGATGGCTTAAGAATTAATCTGACTTATGAACATTCTCCTGGAAACAGAACTCAGGAACTTACTGTAGTTACTGTAATTTTCAGAGAAAGTTAGCATATAGATAAAACAATGAATGAAGACCTACCTATTATTTACATTAGTGTCTTGTTCATGAATACTTTTTTTATTGGAAGCCCCATTAGAAACTCTTGAAATAGGCCGAGACTTTACTGCTATAAATTAAGAAAAAGTCAGTCACGACATAGAATACATTAAATATGTAACAATTCAGTGTAAATTTATTGGTTAGACACTATAAACAAAATTAAGTGTTAAAGTGGGTAGGACTGTTTTCCCTCAGTTTGCAGAAATACATATAAATAAATGTCTCCAAGGATCATTCTTTCCAGGAACTTTAAGTGTCAATAACTATTAAAATTAGATTGTAAAGCCAGGGGAATAGCTCAGTAGTAGAGCACTTGCCTAGCATGTGTAAGGCACTAGTTCAGCTCTCAGCAGCAAAAATTAGAGTGCTAAAACCCACCTACAGAGGAAGTTTTGACACCATCTATACTGTTTTTCACCATCTGTCCTGGAGAATCACAAAAGGATAGCTTCTGACCAGAAGACTTCTCTTCTCTTACTGATCCATTTTGTTTTGGTTCATTGAGACATCCAGTGGAAGTCAGTAATTCCATACTTGAATTTGTAGATCTGCTGGAGGGTCCTGCGATGCTAAGCCATGGAGAATCTTTCCCTGTCACTTTTTTCAAAGGCTTTGTTTTGGCTTGCACATTTAAGTTCCCAGTAAGTACCTTAGGTCTGGCACCTGTAACTTGCCCTTCCTGATTTCTTAATTTTTTCCCATTTAATGAATTTTTCTGTCCAACTGATGCTGCTGTTCTTTCTGCAACTTTAGGTGACAAGTTTTCCAATTTTGCATTATCATTATTTTCTGTTTTGGGCTTTATTATAGTTTTGGGTTTTCCAGAAATATCTTTTTCCCCCGTTTTCAATCCTTTTGTAATCTTAGATGCTATTTTTGTACCATCCTTTTCCTTTAAATCATCATGCTTTAAAGTTTTATTTATACTATTTCTATTAGCATTTGATGAATGTCCAGATGCTCCTAATCCATCAGATTTCATCTTTTGATTAGTAGAGAGATAATGCCAGCACTCTTTCTTGTTATTTTCTCTCCAAGATTTGTTTTTTATAACACCAGAGTCAGAAACGTGCCTCCTTTGCTGCAAAGAAGAAAAAAAAATTTTTTTAACCTGCCTGAAGTTTTTAACATATAATACTTAACTGACACATGTTTTCAGAAGAAAAAAAGCTAAATTCATATTATGATTTAAGTAATTCAAAATTCGAATTGTCTTTGATCATTTTGATCAAAACTTTGCATCTTGGATCATATATCATAAGACTAAGATATGGCATTACTTATTTAAAAGGGATTTATTTATCATTATTTAAAAGGCATACTATTTTCTTTTTTCTTTATGGTACCAGGGATAGAACTTGGGACCTTTTGCTTGCAAAGCAGGTGCTGGAACCACTGAGCTAAATCCCTGGTCCCATACTATTTTAATTTATGAAGTTATGGTAGAGATGAAACCCTAAAGGTTCAAGATGTCTTGAATACATAACAATAGCTAAGAATTTCTGAGGGCCCATTTCCAGGTTCCATGCTAAACTGTTTTTATATATCATTTCACTTAATTCTAAGAATAATCCTATGAAATCACTCCTGTAGTTATTACTTTTTTTAAGCAAGAAATTGAGGATTAAAGAACATGTGTAATTTACCCAAGTCACATGCTATTAAGGGACAGAATTAGCACTTGAGTTCAGGATTTACTGCCTCAAGGAGGTAGTCATCTAAATGGTACAATCTGAAGGACACTATAAAGATTTTCACCCAAAATTCTCTCTTCAACCTATCTCAAATATCAGAAATTTTATCTTTATAGATTTAATCCTCTGTAGTAAAACAATTTACTTCGTGGAATCCTCATTTAAATAAATAAATAAAAAAGCTCCTAGGAAACACAACGCATTACATCTGAAAAGAATGGTTTTTCAAAGAATTAGATGTTAGTCCAGTATTGGCTACCTGGTGAAAGTGGAGGAACAGGAGTCCTAAAAATAGCTGAAATAGATAAATGGAGAAAATTAGAAGCCTACTGAAGATAAATACAACTACATGGAGAAAATTAGAAGGATACTAAGGACAAATACAACTACTTTATCATCTTTCTTAGACCCAATATTGATGAGAAAGGGAAGAGGTTTTTAAAAATTGTTAGAAATTTTAGAACAAAAATATAAGACTATATTGTCTATGCTTACTGTTTTCCTCTGTGAAGCTACATGAAAATGTAGAGGTATGAAGTATCTTTTCTAACCAAAGCCCTTGGCAGTATGCTCATTATATATCAGGGGGGACTTGAGAAAATGCTGATGATTGTTAAAACTGAGCATATAACTGATATAGTATAATTATTTTTCAACAGGAAAAGCTTCTATAATTACATTAAAATTGTCTAAGTTAAAATAGCTCATGTAAGGGCCAGGGATTTAGCTCAGTGGTGCCACTGCCTGCCTTGCAAGTGCAAGGACCCGAGTTCGATCCCCGGTACCAAAACCGCCCCCCCCAAACCCTCATGTGGGTGCAGATATCACACAAATAAAATTATTAATAAACAAAGAACAAAATGTTGGCTAAATTTAGGAAAACTGGTGTTAAAGGTATCACTAAATTATTGTCCTGGATTTGGCTCTAATGGATCCAGTATAATTAAGAAGTTATTAACCTCTCTGGGCTTTAGATTACTTGTGTTTATAGAGTAGAGAACTGACCTCCTTAGAATAGTATTCTAGGATTTTAACAGATATTTTATATCCAGAATCAATTTCAGAATACCACTGCCTCCTTAGGGAAACTTATTATCCTGAATTCTTTCCACTGTTGTTAATTGCAAAAGCACTTAGAAAAATCTTCAAGTCAGGAATATAAAGAAGAACAATAAGAATCTTCTACTTTCTTGTGAGACAAGGAAGGAGGAAAGGCCTAGTTGATAATAGGGGAAAGGAAGGAAGATATGCTAATTCTTAAAAAAAAATAGAGATTACAGTGAATTAAGTACATTTTAAAATAATGTTCTAAGGTACCATTTTCTAGAAGAAATAGGGAATTGTATCATATAATACAGAGGGAGCAGAGTGGTGTTCCATAGTTGAATAATAAGAAATTTTGGGTGAACAATCCAAAGTATTTCTTACTGTAGTGTTTCTCAGCACTTTTAAGGCATATTTTTCATTACCAGGGTCTAAGAAGAGCTATTATATGTAGTAATTTTTAAATTTACGTTGATGCTAGATGTTCTTCGGTAGGACATATGATGGAGCTAGTATATTGCAAAACACACTCTAGAAAACAGTCCTAGGGGATTTACTGGCAAATAGCCCCATATCCCATAATTTCTCAAATAAGAAATTTAGAGTTTGACCCCTGCCTTAAGCCACAAAAGCTCAGTTATGGCTTGGGGTGTGTTAATTTCTATCTACAGAATGATAAAAAGAAAACAGAACTCCCTATTCCACTCTGCAAGGGCAGTACATTCTTTGCATTCCAAACTGAAACTCTAATATATATATTTTCATATTATCATTGTAATGTACATAGTAGGTTAGTATAATTTTCTACTTCAAATATATTATTGATTACATGAGCAGCTACCAGTTAGCTTGGAACTTTATCCATTATTAATAACATTTTTGGAGAAGAAAAATGTATTTTAGGTTATAACAAATACATCAAGTGATGAGTATGTGTAGTGTTAAAAAAACAGCACAATTTACTATATTAAATTTTAAAACATAGTATATAATGTAACTATATGCACTTTGTTGTATGCCATATTTCTAATATCTTCGTATGTTGCAAAACTGAGACTGTATACTCACTTAATAACTGTCTTTTTCTGTATCTGATCTCACCCTCTAGTCTCTGGCAGTCACTATTCTACTTTGTTTTTAAGAGTTTGACTATTTTAGATACTTTATATAGTACACCAAACAACTTTTACAGTAAAACATAACTCTATTCTTGGTACTAATTGCTTTTTTCACACCAATATTATGTGAATTAATTAGAAAAATAAATATTGAATTAGGTCTAGAATTTTAAAGATTTCCTAACCTACTGGAATAGCTCCACTACATTACTTGCCAAAAAGGTTTTCAAGGAAATGAAAAAAGTAGATACTTTTCACGCCAGCTAGATATAAAGAATTCATTATCAACCAGGCATGGTGATACATGCCTGTAATACCAGCTACTTGTGATGCTGAGGCAGGAGATCATAAGTTCAAGGCCAACCTAGGCAACTTAGTGAGATCCTGACACAAAATGAAAAAATAAAAAGAACTGGGAATACAGCTCAGCAATCCTTGGATTTAATCCCCAGTAGCTAAAAAAAAAAAAAAATAAATAAATAAATATTCACTTTAAAAAGATTTAAAGTTATTTTCATCAATAGTTAGCTTTAATTAATAAATGAACAGATTTTAAAATATTTTGAAATAGAAAACAATAACATTTGGTATATTTTCTTATTTGGAGATATTAAAATTTAGAAAAATTTACCTGAGAGCTACTGAATATAGGCTTTTTGCCAAGTCTTCGGTCATCACCTTTGTCAAATGCAGCTGTAGAAAGAAATAGCAATTTATTCTTACAGGAAGCATTTATTACCACAGAACTAAGGAAAAAATAGAAAGCTAGCAGCAAAAGGTTATACAGTATTTTGATGGAAATTTAAAAAAAATCCATCTAGTATATAACACAATTCCCTGTTTTATAGAATTTTTTAAACAGAATCTTATTTTCAATCTTATTCTCTAGTCCCTGTGATCTTGTTTTAAAAATTACTAAATAAGAAATGTACAATCTGCCGAGGATTTAGCTCAGTGGTGCTGCTGCCTGCCTCGCAAGCACAAGGTCCCAAGTTTGATCCCTGGCACTAAAAAAAAAAAAAAAAAAATAGAAATGCACAATCTGAGAGAAAATTAATATATTTACCAAAAAAACTCAGAATGTTCTCAAACTGCATTTTTAAACTGATTTCATTTAGTTTTCCAAATTTTAAAAAATTAGAAATTATGGCAAATGTGATATTTTATTAACAATTAAATATGAGAAAATATTTCTACTAAGAACTATAAAGATATTCCACTGATACTAACTAAAAATATTTTCTGGTTTTGCAGGTCTATCATGCAGAAAGAGGAAAGAAAAGAGGAAAAATAGGGCTCTGTTGAAAATAAAACAATACACAATCCCCAAACTCATCATTCTTTTTAGAATTAAATAAAAATTCATTTTATGTTAGGTCTATATGACAATTATTAGAGAACTCATAAAATATAATTTGGCTAATGCATTTCTTTCTTTTGTAAGTTATGGTGCTTTAAGATATATTTTTCCAAAATTTGACTTTTTAAAAAACAGCTAATAAAATATATTAAATTATCTGTAATGCTATCATGCATCTTCCACAACCTATAGTCTATAGAGATGTAGGACAAAGCAAGATCCTGAAAATGGCATTGTAAAGACTGATTTGCAATAAGCAAATGACTACACAATAATATATATTAAGACATTAATAAAAATTTCTTCCCAAGGTCAGTAACTCAGGTAGAACATCAAAAATGTTACAACTAAGGCAACCCAGACCTGGGTTTTGTAATGCAATAATTAGCGTAAGTCAGAATTCATTATAATTCAACATATTTAAGATTTTAAAATATCACACTGATGCAATATAATAAAGTGAAAAGGTTTTTGTGATAATTAGCTAGATTATCAATGACATTTTGTTTAGATATTTGTATATATGTGTATTTACATGTAGTTTTACTTAGCACTTTGAAGAATTAAAGAAGATTAAAGTTCAACTTAAATATGAAATCTAAAATACAGAAAAGCAAAGTTTGCTACCAATCAGAAGAGAGCTGAAGGACACCTACTCAGGAATGCTGTTCTTATTTTATTTCTTCACATTGTACAGATTTTTTAGTAAACTATCATCTAAAAATCAACACAGAAATAGTCTCAAGCAAAATATTTCAATTTTTAAAGATCTCATGATTTTTGTTATTTAAAAAATGGAATTTCTTTGAGAAGTGCTCTTCAAATCACATCTAGCTGCACTATTATGTTATACTTATAATGCAAGATAGAGCAGGTTACATTTTGATTATTCCACTAAACAACACACTTATGTATTATCAAGAATACATTTTTATCACATATAGCTTCCATGTTTTATAGGACAAAAATATTTCCTTCATAAAACAGTCTCTTAGCTTTAAATGGTTGTAAAAGTACACTTGCTGAATATGTCAGTATTTTTTCTAAAGCACCTGCTTTAACCCAAAAATAGTCATGAAGCCATTTTTAGTTCCACATTTTCAAATTTTATTTTGATATTTTAAAACACACATTTTGAGCAATATACATCTTTTGTTTAATGCTAATGTTTCAAATGGTACCTATTAATGTCAGAGACCACTCTGCAGCTCCTGAGGGACACTCTGCAATAGCACAGACCACATCACTGAAGCAATCAATTGTGAAATAAAGCCATCTAATCTAGGCAAAACCATAAGAAAGGTTATCTTACGAAAGATGGAAAAGCTTTATGGCAAAATATATTTTAAAAGGTGGAAAAGTATAGTTTGTAATCTATTCTGTGTGGGTTTTTTTTATACTTTCACCTCTTCACAAGAATGCTTTTAAACAAATTTTGCTAGAATATTATTGCTACTATACAAGAGGATTAAAAATCAATATGCATATATAAAGGAAGTGAGTTTCATTTTCTAAGAAAGGGAAAAAACATGGTTAAAACTGCCTAACCTACTGTCACTAGTTTTGATTAGCACTCTATTATTGAACAGAAGCACACAAATGTTAATCTGCTTATCAGAACATCCTCAAATATCTGTTGTCACAAAGATCACAAAATGAGAATTTTTAAAAAAATACCTGCTTGAATATTCTGTTGATCATCTGTGCTCATCAGCTTCCAGCTTTCTGTGTGCCGAACAGCATAGAAAGACTGAACCAGGAAGATCCACAGCTTATCACGCAGAGCTTGGATCTTGCACGTAAAACCCTGTGTTCAAGCAACAAATCAGCAGCTGGTGAGAGCCACATTGTCATAGCAACCAGTCATTATTCCTTTCTGAATCTACTTACTCCTAAACTAGATCAATGATGTCATCACTTGGATTTTTAAGATCACAGGGTACAAGTTATTTATAAAGGCTTATTAATTAGAATTTTATAGCGAATGTGAAGCTAAATCTTACCCTTTCAGCCAAACATTATTTTAAAGCACCAATAACCTTTATATGAATATCTTCCATAGCCTTTTAAAATTATCTATGACATTACAAGGTCAAATACTCTATGCAATAGTAATAAGTATGTTAAAATTTTTATTCTTACACAATAAAAATGGTAATTTATAATTAGTATATTATTATAGATCAGTTGCACTTAAAAACAATACAGTGCTGGGGCCAGGGATTTAGCTCAGTGGTTTCACTGCCTGCTGCGCAAGCGCAAGGACCTGAGTTCGATCCCCGGCACCAAAAAAAAAAAAAACTCAATACAGTGCTTAAGTTGCTTTTTCCTTGTCAATCTAATTTTAAAATATGATGTTTGAAGAGAAAAAGGAATTAAGAATATATTATAAAAATAAAAGGCACTAATGATTAAAATTCTTAAATATATTTTATATCTGAAAATTTAATGTAGTGACCAGAGAGAAATACTGGAGTTACACTGTGCCAAATAATATTGCTAACTACCAAAAGCTATGTTTAGAATTAATGAGCTAAACTGCTAAATTTTAAACTTTTATAAAAAGTCCATTTGAAGGTAAATGGTATTAAAAATTTTTTTATTATGAAAAATTCCAAACACACAAAAGACGATAATCACCCCTAGGTGTCTACTGCCTAATTTCAGAGATATAACATTATTTTAATGAATTATATTACATACAGTACCATTTCCTTTATACTTTCAGAGTTCAGTAATGTGTCCAGAGCCATAAGAAGAGAGCAACTATTTTCAGTGGTAATATTTTCTTCAATTGCTTTTAAAATTTTGTCCAACAGATCAGCTGTGCTGCTCATTGCTTGTGACTATGAAACATAGAAACTGCTTTTTAATAAGAATTCACTAAAATGCATAACAAGTGTGAAAGTCTGGCTAACAGCAAAATAGTCATCATTTACTATATGAAGTCAAACAGAAATCATATATATGCACCTTGAGACCATTAATGCTAAGCAAAATAAACCAGACACAGAAGGTTAAATATTGCATGGTTTCTCTTACATGAGAAATACAAAATGTAAGTAATTTAAAGAGTAAAATAAAAGATAGATAATAGGAAACAGGGAGGTAGTCCTCCTGGAGATGGAAAGGGGATCTAGAGAGGGAGGGAGTAGGGAAGAATTAGAAGGAAAGGGGAAGGACTGAGATGCAATATGTACATTTGCCAACTTGCCATGACGAATGTATTCATTATATATCGTGAGTATGTACTAATAAAAAAAGAAATCACATCTGCGATTCTCCTTTCCTTTGCTAAAAAATCTGCATATACACATATATACATACACACAAATATGCTGTTTTTAGAGCTAACATATCTCTCATAATAAAATCTAGAAATAATCAGCTTTAGAGACAGTAGTTCCTGGTAAGACAGGGAACCTCCCATGGACCATAATTGTAATAATGAGCAAAACATTATCTTTACAGCTTTGGTTTGTAAAATGTGATAATGTTGATTGAGAGCTAGTGTTGGCCAGAATTACAATGTGCCTTGCCAGGACACTCAAGCCAGTCCCTCCTGGGTTCCTTATCTCGTGAGCCAAAAATCCTGTCCATCTCTGCTCCAAATCTGATGCAAATATGCCATCTGCTATGGAATTTATTTAAATCATACTAATTTAATCAAAGGCAGCCTGTATTTATCTTATGTGATTAAAATCAGAACACAAAGATAGAACTAAATATAGGATATGATTTTAGACACAGTACCTGTAAGAGAAGAGTGAAATTTTCACTCCAAATGATCTTGGAGAAGTGTTCTACAATAAATGCAATACACTCTTCTTGGAGTTGAGATGCCATAGTCAGTGCTGCTTCTGTCCACTTTACTCTAGGTAAACTGATGATTAGCCTATCACTTTCCATCAGAAGAAAAGCAGCATTCTTATCATTCTTGGAATTAAGAAAAATTAGAAAAGTTAGGTGGTATTACTGCTCATAAAATAACTTTCTAAGCAATTAAATATGTTTGCTTTCTTGTGATATTTCTTACAAAAAACAAAAGTCCAAGTAGCTAATATCTTTGTCATCATTTTTACCTATAAAATTTATTCATTCATTCAGAATTTTCCAGAGGAGGAAACTTTGAGCTGGGAATGAACCACCTTTAAAAGGTAGCAAAAATAAACCTAAGAACAAAGTTGTAAGGGAAATTATAAATTCACTTCACTACTGAAGTAATTTGTGTACCTACTGATGCCATGGCTGCATGGCTACGTTATATGGGCTTAATTCGTAAAATGTATGTTTATTATTGCAAATTTAGAAAGGGTAAGAATCACATATAACCCTCAGTGACTTTCTTCCTCTTCTCTAATTCTATTCTTCTCTAATTCTATTTTCAAATTCTATTCTAATTCTATTTTTTGTATTTATTCATTTAATAATGATTCACTTTTATACCACAGGAAAAAATGTTCACAAATATTGATTTCTATTGAAAATGGAATGACAACTCATGAATACTATGTGCTCAAAGGTAAAGGAAAAAAATGGCAAATTATAAATTATCTTATTCATGATTTCTAGTTATAAAAACAATGTTGAATAAATAACAAATTAATGAATAGTTACCCAAGAGACTGTAATAAATTAAGAGGAAAACATAACCACAAAATCTTTGTAGCGCCATTAATCAAGAAGCAGAATCTATTTCCTCATGTCTTTTGTTTTTGCTTTTTTGGTACCGGGGATCAAACTCAGGACCTTGCACTTTCGAGGCAGGCGCAGGAACCACTGAGCTAAATCTCCAGCCCGTTATGTCTTGACTATGTTCATCTTTTCATTTGCTTTAACTAATAGTGATGCTGTACAAGTTCAAAAGCCTCAAGAAGCCTTCCAGCTTCTGTATTTACCCTCTCAGAATTCTGGGACCACTAGGTGATGAAGAACCCTGGTTAGAAAGACCATGTAAAGTGAAAGGCTCAGCCTCCAGCTGAATGTAGCTATGGGAGTGAACTCAGGCAAGACCAGCAAAAGAATCACCCTGTCTACCCAAACAATAGTGAGAAGTAATAAATTGTAGCCATTTAGTCGTGAAGTGGGCTTACTTCAGCAATAAATAACTAATGAATCTGGAAATGTAACAGGCGGAAATATTTAACATGGACTATATGATGCAGACTGCATATCCTCTGTATTGTTCAAATTTCAACAAAAGCATTGTTTCCATTCTCTACATCTGCATTAAATTGCTTTTATATATGCTATCAGAGAACCTGTCTCTTATCTTTAATTCATTTGTAATTATTCAAACATTAGCATAACTGATTAATGTCTGTTTCCTTCACTATGGTATATGTTCAGTGAGAGTGAAATCATGTCTGTTTTTGCTCAGTATTTTATCCCCAGGGCCTAGTACAGAACTGGGTCATAGCAGGCATACAAATATTCACTGATATCTTAACATGATCAGAGACTGAGAGTCTGTAAGTGAATTTCTATGATAATCTAACTTTAATCCTTGAATACTGAAACTTAAAATTTTTCTCATTTAGTAAGAATTTGTTTAAAATGTGTTATGTACTTCCACAGCTGTACTTGGAGAGGTTTAAAAACCCTACTTTGCCATAATTCAAGTATTTTTTTAGTACCATTGTTCTTTCCTCCTGTGGTGACCTCCTGAGTAATTGTGCAATTACTAAGAGTTTTAGGTAATAAACCAATTTTTCCTACTGTAGGCACTGCTCTGGGCAGTGGAGCCAAATATGGGGTATGCAAAAAAATTTGTCAGGTATCTACAAAGTGCTTACTATATACATAATGTTATGGGCCATTACTTTTTAAAAAATACCATCATTTTTTAAAAAGTACAAATATATAATTTTCTCTCTTCTCTCTCCCCCGCCCATCCTTTCCACTGCCCTCCCTGTACTGGGGAATTAACCTATGTATATGTGTATGAGGCAAGTGCTCTACTTCAGAGCTAGAACCCCAATCCTAGAATATAATTCATAATTGAGCTTAGAATTTATTAGAAAAATAAAATATGGACTCAGATGATAAATAATCTTTTTCCATATTGATCTGAATATATAACAAACACTAAGTGTTAGAGTACCTTGAGATTCAAAGAAGAAAAATGTAATACTTCTTACCAAATATGAATTTTTTTTTTTTTTTTGGTACTGGGGATCAAACTCGGGTCCTTGTGGTTGTGAGGCAGGTGGTGGAACCACTGAGCTAAATCCCTGGCCCAAATATAAAATTTTAACTCAATAGCTAAGATAATCCCAGGTTTCATAATTGAAAAATATATAAAGGATATTACTAGGGACAGTTTTCCTCTCTTTCATGTCCTCCAAACTACTCATTTTCAAACCAATATTAATTTTTTCTGTATCTTTTCAGGTTTTTAGGCATATATAAATAATAGATATAATTTCCCCTTATTTAAATAAAGTCATTAATACACATAGTACTCTGTAACCTGCCTTTTACACTTAGCATACATCATATTTTTATTATTAGAGGGCCCTTTTGTTTTAATAGCCATATAATAGCTCATGATATAGATATATCACATGTCCTCTTATAGACATTTACATTGTTTCCAATGTTTCACCATGTTATAATGAATTACAATTGTGTATAACATCATTTCACACATATGTGAATATATCTATAAGATACATTCCTACAAGTAGAATTCTTGTATCAATACCATTTGTTTTAACTTGGATTCTACCTAAAGACAGAGGATGAGAAACAGACTTGTACCCAGGTAAGTTTATTTTGGGAAGTGATCCCAAGAGAATCTGAGGCAATAGTAAGGTGGAATAGGAAAAGAAGAAAAGCCAAACCAAAGGTGTAATTTTTTGGCTCCTTGCTACTCAAAGTATGATCCATAGCATCAGCATCAGCCAGAGCTTGTTTGAACTGTAGACTTTCTGGGTCCTCCCTTGACTTAAGAATTATAATCCATATTTAAACAAGATCCCTGAGCATTTTATATAAAGTTTAAGAAGCAGTGATAGAGCATTCACTATTATAGGCAACTGAAGCTTAATCTTGTTCAATACCCTCTGCAGAGCCACTGCAGATGCATTTTGAGTTAATCACTAAGAGACAGAAAGGACAAACATTTAATCACTGGGCTCCATCTCCCATGATCCTGGCTTGCTCCTTGGGATGTAAACTTGCTTTCATTGCCAGGATTACACAGGTTCAGACTTGCTGGGCTGAGAGTGTATCTTAGTGGCAGACTGTTCATCTAGTATGGACCAGGCCCTAGATTCAATACCAGCACCGCAAAAAGTAAAGTATAGAATTGAGGTACAGGTATCTGACATAACGCAGCAGGAAAGCCTCAGGATAGAAAGTGAGAAAGAAGTGCAATGTGGCTAAGAAATCTTGCTTCTTTCAGGGCAGTGACAAAACTCAGAATAATCTATCAACCTGGGGCCACTAACAACAGAGATGGTAGTTTGGGTTAGGAGTCAGCACAGTCTCTTTCCCTGGCTCAGTACAGAATAAGATAATAAAAGACCCCAGTGCTCAACTCCTCCCTGGGGAGAGAAAGAACTGCAATGTGCATGGAAAGTCCCAACTTGTCTGGAGGCTGTCCAAAGGATAGACTTCTGTCTTGCCTGTTTTGAAGTGCTGATCTGACCTAATCACCTAAGGTCCAGTTAAGAACAAAAATGGTAGATATATTGGTGAAATTAGTCACCATAGCCCCTCTCCCTGGCTCAGTAGAGACCATACACGTGAAAAACAAAACAAAACAAAGCAAACACCAAGGAAATCCTGCCTTCTTACGGAGAAAAGGAGATGGAGGGATTGTTCAATGATTCAACATTTCTGGGGACTACTAAAAGAACTAGCTTCACAAAATCCAACAATATGCTGCATACAAGAAACACACTTAATTCAAAAGGAAACACATAGACTGAAAGTTAAAGGGTGGAAAACAATACTCCATGCAACAGGAACCCCCCAAAAAGCAGGAGTAGTAGCTACCTCTTGGCAGATCAAGTAGATTTCAAACCAACACTGATTAAGAGAGACGAAGAAGGACACTACATCCTTGTAAAGGGAAGAATCCAAGAGGAAGAGATGACAATCATAAATATCTATGCACCAAACACTAGTGTGCCCAACTATATAATACAAATACTAATGGACATGAAAAGTCATATATGCACTAATACACTTGTAGTGGAGGACCTCAACACCCCACTGTCACAAATAGATAGATCAACTAGACTAAAAATAAGTAATGAAATACTAGAACTCAATTGAACTCTTGAACAAATGAACTTAACAGATGTTTACAGAGTCTTCCACTCCACAAAATCAGAATACACATTCTTCTCAGCTGCACATGGGTCATTCTCCAAAATAGACCACATGCTCACACATAGAACATGTTTAAGTAAGTGCAAAGGAATTGAAGTTATCCCCTGTATATTATCAGACCATAGTGTGATGAAACTGGAGATCCACAGGAAAAGAAACTGGAAAAATTTCATAAACATGAGGAAATTGAACAACACACCTAGCCATAAAAAATGAGAAATTAGAGACATTTATAGCTAAGTGGATGCACATTGAGGCAATACTCTTAAGTGAAATAAATAGGACACATGTGTAAATACCGAATAGTTTCTCTGGTGTGAGAAACTGAAAGTGTAAATAAGGACTAAATGTATAAGAGGTAATGTGAAATAGGAAGAAAAAGGGCAAAGGGGAAGGAAGTGGGAGGGCTAGGGGAAAGGATAGAAGGGAATGGGATTAATATGAGAAAATGGAAAAATAGGAACAAAATCTTTGTAAATAGGGAGGACTGGAGGGGTTGAAAGGAGGGCTGGGCAAGGGTGAAAAATAAGAACCAAGAGAGACTATGTAAAGGTGCAAATTTCCAATGATGAATGTCATTATATTGTATACCT